TAATGTTGACAATACAGACGCAACTCTTGCTTTTTGCTTTACAAGCATCTCCTAAACGGAGAGACATTGCTGAGGAGAGGGATGTCGGAGTGTTCTTGCTGAGCTTGCTACCTGCCCTGCCCAATATCAGATAAGATGAACAGAATGGATGAATTTTACTGCTTCTACATGGAAATGGTCTTCATTTGAAATAAACTGCTAGATTTAAAAGTGTAATACAATGAGGTTATTGCCACACTTCAATCCTTGTCAATCGAGTAGAGAAGCTAGAAAAAAAAGGACTCTAAAAATACAATCTTCAGATGAGTGAAGTTTGCATCTCTGATGTAGACTGTAGGAAACACTTCATTGTCTACGCCTGAGAGTGTGAGTGAATCAAACCACCAAGAACACGGTCTTTTGCATTCGCCTGTGACAATGTTGTCTAAGAAGTACAGCAAAGGAAAATTATATCTCAAATCTTAATGAATATTTGCATAATTCATTGACATAGGCTAATAAAAGCCCAGGAGACACATGCATCATCTCTAATTACAATGTTTTACAAGGCAGTATTACAGCAATGTCTAAAATACTTGAATTGCTTAATTCTCATTATAAATTAACTACGGAAAATTGCAAGGCTTGTTGGAACCATTTTGCAGCTTTTACATTGGCTACAAATCTGCTTTTATATATTTTTTTCCTTCATGTTTTGGCAGATGACTGCCTCTTTTTTTTTTTTTTACAAAAACAGAGCCTTCTTGTGCTAGAAACAAGCTTTAAATTCATACCATTTCCTCCTCAGACTCAATTAAGCTGTACATTTCAGCCGCAGTATTCCCAAAACGTCACCATTATTCACAGCAGCTCAAAGACCTCGTTCTTCACTCTCTGGATATAAAAAAAAATAAAAAATCCTTGCTGCTTTTCACTTTTACTGTCATGATGTGTGGTTGAGGAGAGCGGTGAGAGAGACGCCAGGAATCCCAGGCAGTCATGATAAGAGATAATTTAATGATAAACCAGGAGGGACAACAGAAAATCACTGGCAGCACAGGAACAGACACAGACGTGAGACACGACGAGGATCCGACAAAGACAACAGGTGGGGTTAAATACACAGGGAAGGTAATCAGGGAGCGGGATGCAGCTGGGAGCAATCAACAGGGAAGACAGATTCACAGGGGAAACTGGACTAACAGAAAAACTACACAGAAAACACAGATCCTAACATTTACCAATCTTTGCTGTGCCAATGAGTCGATATGTTTGGGAGTAAGAGTGTGGCAAACTGAGGACAAGGTAATGAAAGGCTGTCCAGTATGCAGTCATATCCACGTGCATGCTGAAAGGCTTTCATGTGGACAAAATACCCCTACAGAAACGCAACACAAGAATAAAATACAAAAACATCAGCAATCAATGCAGCGGAGATTATCTCAAGCTTCAAAATGATCCTCACACACTCACTAATCACACAAGTGAGTGGCTTTGCTCCATCTTGTCTTATCCGTTTTCTTCTCCTCTAAAACACACAGGGCTGATCAGAGTAAAACGAGGCTAATTACCCGGTACGGGCTGAGTAAGCAGCGTGGACGCTGTCAGTGTGCTGAGGGAAAAGCCAACAGTAGGTTCATAAACGCAGGCATTAACCATCCAGATTTAAGCCCGCAGCGCTGCCGTGTGGGCTCAGTTTCATAGCGATTGCTTTAACTTTAAAGGATTTGGCTGCTGCAAACAATCAAGACTGAACTTACTGGATGCTTGTTGGGTCAATGACAATAAAACGGAGCTGTAAAAAGGAGGTTTATTTGTCCCCCTCCGCATTTTCCTTTTGCGTTCGTCGTTTGTATATTTGTCCGTGTATGGACATATGGCATGGGCATTTATCTGAATGAGGCACTTGAGGCAACAATGTGAGAACAAAGTGCGAAGTGAGCCGTCGGATGTCTCTGATGGAAACCCGGTGCAGAAAAAGGATTTTCACAACTGTTTTTAGCGGAAAAAAAAAAAAAAAAAAAGACTGACTCGGAACCAGTCTCTCATGGCATTCAGACCGGTGCTTTTTTGAACTTCACCTATTTTATACATGGCTTACTTCAAACAACAGATAGTGATGGAAGATTTCAGACATGGTAACAAAGGCAAAACAAATGTTTTTTTTTTTATTTTCTTTTTTTCCAAGTGGATGCATAAATGTGAGCACAAGCTAATTTACATATCCCCGTGTTGCCCTTTTACACCCATATGCCTGCACCTAGTAAAGATGGATGTTGTTACTTTTAAATCACCTGAATGCTGCCTTATTCATTAAGATGTCACATCTCTGCCTGTGATAGAAGCAGAAAGAAGCAGCCGGGCTACCTTGCAGTACAATTAAAATTTTTAAAGGTCACGCTTTAAACAAAAGGTTAGGTGGATGCACTAACAAAGAAACTAATACTAATAGTTTAATAAATAAACCAATACCAATGGCATGATATTGCATATTTGCTCTGTGTTTTATTGGCTTAGAAATACACTGGATTGGGTAAATATTGCTCCAGTGTCGCCTTCTACTATGATATTCTATCAGGGCAGGCCTGAATATCACAACCCTAAGAGGTCATATGTAGAGGAGACATGTCCCACTGCTACTGAAGCAGTGAAAGAGCAATCGTTGCATACTATGCTATGGTAGCTCTGTTTGCATTTACGAACATTCACTCACTCTGCATGCTGAACGCTCAAATCGGCTCCAACTGACAGACGCCCAAACTATTTTATAGATAATGATACTAATTCACCATTTCATGCTACTAATAGTGTTCAGGGAAGTGAACTTTGATGGAAACGTTAGTGCAAATGCAACGGATGGCGTCTCAACACAGTAAAACGTTGTGAATTTTCCACCTTTCATTCCAGGAAACCTGTATACAGTATACAAGAGAATGGAGGGCACACACATAGCAATAAACATAACAATAAAAATGGCTGGAATTAATTTTTTTTTTTAAAATTGACTTAAATTCTTTCAGCTTAGACCCGCACAAAACCAATTTTTAGACATGTCAACATACATAGCAAGATAAGACACAGTGTTAACGGGGCTTATGTTTTTACTCTTTTCTGCCATCCATTATAGTAGCTTATTTGATTTATCATGTTTGGTATCATTTATGAGCTTTCCTAACAAACCTGGAAAAAAATAAGCTCCTAATGTCTTTTGAAAGACCTGAATACCTACTAGCCTCTTTAAGGGTTGTCTGTTTTAACGTAGAAATCATTTAACCACTGATTTCAATTAATTTGAGGTAAATAAATAGATAAAAAAAATATCAATAAGAGAAAGAACAGACAATAACAGCTGGTCTGTCAATTTTCAAACTGATTTAAATTTTAAAATTTATAGAATCCTGTAAACATCCTCTTCCAGTAACTAGCGTAAAACCTCTCTGCCTTGTTTCAAATAACTGAACAGAGTGATTACTGAGCCTGAGTATTGGAGATGGCACAAACGGAATTAAAACTGAGGAAAAAAATGGGATGGTAAAATCGGCTTCTCCTCTGCGGCGGTTTTTAGAGCCAGTCAGCTGTTTTTCTTTTTTCCTGTTGTATTTTTTTCAGTAACTGGGCCGAGGCGGTCACTCTGTGTAATATTTTTTTTCACGGCTCCAGAAGGCGAAGTGTATTACTCAAAGACTGCTCCTTCTGGAGTTGCAGTTGGCCAGAAAAAGAAGGTGTGAGGTTGCACAAGAAAGAAGAGGAAAAGAAAGTAAAAAAAAAAAAAAAAAAGTAATCAAAAGATCTTAAAGTCCATCTCTGATTACCCATCTTGAGAAATCCACTTTCTGTTACCATGGTAATGGTTTATATATATATACTCTTCCTTTTCCTGTACCAGCAGATCTGTAGTTATTTGCACTTTTTCTGTCTACAGTTTTGTTTCACAGCAATGTGATTAAGAAACTCCACACTGATGTTTTTGTGTAAAATCCATGAACATAAAGGAAAGCAAATATATCTATTTTAAGATTTATGTGAAGTATTGTGAATATTCTGTGTTCAAATACAGTAGAAGCTTTCCAGGCTTTTTCTGAGTTCTTTCTCAAGTTTAGCCAACTGATGAAAACTTCTTGACAGCCAGAACAACCAGACGTAAAAAAAAAAAAAAAGGGCATTGACCTTTTCTAGCCGTGTTGCTTTGTGTGCGTCTCCTCGTGCTTCTTCACCTGCTTTCAGCTTCATTTTTTTTTTTTTGTAACTTGAAAAGGTGCTTGGAAACCATGCAAGCATCTTTTAAGAAAAGGGTGACTATTTCCCACCAAAACTTTAAGATATGGAATGGTTTGTGTCTGAAAACCAGATAATTACCCAAGCAAAGTCCTACCCTGCACCTTCTCTAATTGGCTGTCAAAGAGTTGAACAAAAGAAAGGGCACAAAGGACGAAGAAAAGGGAAAAGTTGCAACCGAATACAGGCTCCCTTACTACTGGTTACAGAGTTGGGGACTGCTGCTGTTTGTTCGATCTTTTTCCACAAACCTCACCTTTGTTCAACACGTATGCACTTTAATCAGTACACAATGATGAAAATACAATGCTGTGCAGGAGTCTACAATCTTATAATCTCACTCTGTTTTACTTCCATGACGCCAGACCTTGTAGTGGTCAGTTTCATGCGGTTTGGATGGAATAGTTATGATACAATTTATTTGGCTTACTTATGTGGGAATGAGAAAAAAAAAAAAAAAAAAGTTTTTTTTTATATCAAGATTTCAATGTTAACCCCTTAGCTGTCATGATCATGACACAGGCATGCTAATGGATCGACCCATTGACTTATGTGAGGATTTTGAGGGTGACAGATAAAAGGGTTAATACCTTACATTAAATCCTTGCAACATATGATGTCTCGTTCTAGACGGAAAATGAAGAAACTAAAGTCTGGAGACCGCAAGCCTCATCGAGACAAACTGTATCTGCAGCTGTTTAAAACTTTTGCGTGTTACTGTAGAAGAGGAGGATTCCGCTCCTTACCTTTCCTCACGATTCTGGCCAACACACACTCTCCCACCGTGGCGAGGCGTTGGGTTGCTGCAGGAGCGTTGACGCACCTGGAAGCCGATCCCACAACTGGTGCTGCAAGGGGACCAGGAAGTCCAGGGAGTCCAAGCTCCATTTCTATGACGATACGAAAAGTAACATCAGACTCGGACATTCGCCAGAGAGACGAATCAAATATCAGTTTCTTACGTTTATTTGGCCTTGGTACAGTATTACTAACTTGAGGAATAATGAACATGACTTAAACTTTCTGACTCAAATACAGTAGTGAGTAAAACTATAGCTATACAACCACTCTCACATACAAATGTCAATGTCTTACAGAAGAAAAGATAAAATACACAATGATGTTTCATACATAAAACAGAATCACAAAACTCAAAGCAGTAATGAAGGTCCTTGGGGGGGAAAAAAATGTCTTCAGTTCTTTTCTAGAAATATCGCCCTATATGTGTAATCGAGGTGCCAGCAATTAGATAATTCAGTCCTCTTGAGTGCTAAAGATGGTGTGATGGGCTGTAAAAGATTCTGATTAGATGACCTCAGGTCAGTCAAGCAAGCTTCCATCTAAAGCTCTAAAGCAGTGGTCCCCAAACTTTTTCCTGTGAGGGCCACTTAACTTTTCCCTTCTCTGGTGGGGGGCCGGAAATTGTTGAGGGGGACTAGGGGGTGCGTTTCTCGATTGATTTTTACCCAGAAAGCATATGGGCAAAAACCATGAGTGAAACGGTCACTGGGACTGTCTAGTATATATTCCATTGAGGGAAAGTAACTATAACATATTAATTTCTCATATGTTAACATAAAGGCTCGTTTTGATGAAGTATAAGCTGCTACTTACAGGCATCGCTTCGAAGAATTCAACCTGGAATGCGGCGTTCATAACAGACACGTGTGTTCATCTGCTCTACCGCTAGCAAACAACCGTACTGATTAAATAACATAAAAGTCAAGCAGTTCCCATGCATGCATGGCAGCAATGCGCCATGCAAAACAAAACACCCACAGTTTACAGGACACACTTCCTGCTAAAGAGCCCCCTGGTGGTTGAAGAAAAATCCACATATAAACCGGAAAATACAATTTAAGAAAAAAAATCTGAATGCTCTCTGGTATTGTTCAGGGGGCCGGACCAAATGTGGAGGCGGGCCGGATCCGGCCCACGGGCCGTAGTTTGGGGACCCCTGCTCTAAAGGTAAGATCAAGTTTTTTTTTGTTTTTTTTTATATGGATTCTAAAACTGCCTGGTAGCCACTGAAATCAAAAGTTACAAATTCTTTTGTTCTTTTATTTAAGAGAACTCTAATAGTCCCAGCAGAGTTTCAAAGATGCCCTTTCTCATTTAAAACAAACATTCCTTAAAAGAATAAAAAAAACCCTCTCTAATTATGTTTGAGGTACAAGTTCCAGGTACAAAGCTCCTTTAGATATGACAGAAAAAGAGACTATTTCTATGAGAATTTAAAGAACCGAGTGGTTGTTTTTAGGCCACCGTCTGGTGCAACACCTGAAATTTCGGCTTTATAATGTAGGTAAAGAAGTTCATTAGAGAGGTTCAAATGAGTATTAATTCTTCAGAAGCAGGTGAAATTATCACGTGACTGGAAATGTGGAGCATGAGTTTCTCTAAACTCAGTATTTAACTTGAGAGTGTTAAACCTTTAATGAGGAAGTGTGAAAAAGCTCCAATGTTCAATCAACACTTGTAAGCTCAAAGTAACAGAATGAAAACGTCACAAAAAAAAAAAAAAGAAAAATCATTTGTAGGGTGTTGATCTCTAATGGCTGGGTGTGAGGATGCAGGGGGTATATCTGTTAATTTTTTTTTTTTTTTACTTTATAATATTCAAAAATGATAAAGAAGAACAGCATCAGAATAATATACCGGGAACAGTTGGCGACTTCAACGCTGATCCCATAGCACTTCTGGCCGCCACACTGAGGGGCGGGATTATCGCAGGCTCTCGTCCGACACAGACAAGCCCCTGAGCTGCCTCCGTCATTGTGGGTGCAGGTGGACCAGCCAGACCAGGCACCAAAGCCCCCATCGACTGTAACGTTACGGACCTGTTGGTGACAAACAGGACCAAAAATAAAACACGTTGAATGTCATGTTTTTGTTTTTTTTTTCTCAGAAATGGGTCATTGCATCAGTGTGGCTTTCAGGAATATGCTGCTCTGGGAGATCATCGGTACAAAATCAAAATGTTTTCCTCAAATAGATGCAAAAAAAAAAAAAAAAAAAAAAAAAACCATTAAATCGTCTGCTGCATGTCAAAAAAATTGAGCAGTTGTCTGCTATAACCATGAGGTAAGACAGAATCTGCTGCATGGTATAATGGAATTCCAAAACAGAAAGAGAGAAACTCGGAATATGCACATTCATGAAACACCAATACATGGAAACAAAATGGGGCCTCGTCATCAAATACATGAAGCAAAAACAGAATCAAACTGGAAAGATCAGATATTAGAAGAGCAAAAATTACAAGTGTGATGGCCTGGTTGTAAGGGCCAATCGACAGATTTAGCACTGAGGATGCTATGAGCCCAGGGTTGGTGCAACATTTTGGGATAATTTCAAAATGCAAAAAGCATCATCACACCAGCGGAAGAGAGCGCGATCATCATCTGTTTGGCAGAAGCAAAACAACGCCTGGCCTCTGCTCTTATTGGTAATTGAATTTTGCCGTGTGCCTAAATGAGAAACGCTTGGACCGGGCACACAACATCTGCAACAATGGGCAGCCAAGGAAGCAAACGGCTACACAGATGCAGCCAATAAAGCCAATATTGTAGCATTATTCAGGCTGAGAGTGCGAGTGATTTGGTAGCTGTGTAATGTCTACTGAATTATTTACTTAAGGTTGTACAAGATGCAATATTCAATAACCGATCCAACACTGTGTGGCTTTTATAAGGAAAGTAATCATAATTTGCTTTAATGCTTATACGTCAGAAGAGAAATAACAGAGACTAGATATTATCTCAAATGTAAATCCATAGCAGATCCCAGTGGCAAAAGAGAGGCCTATTTTATTTTTTTTACAAAGTTTAACATCACACATGCAGAATAGGAGATATGGCAAGAGTTCAAAAAGCTGTGAGGGATGTCCATTTTACTTGAATCGAAATATTAATCTGGGACTAAAACCTCCTCGACGGGCCAACAGCAAAACTGCCTTCTTTTAAAAGTAAGACATCTTTCACCACAGATATAAGACTGCAATGCCAGATGGCGCTTGTGAATTCGTTGGTGAAGCACATCTCCTATCTCTGCCTACACAACACTTCTCAGTATGCAAAACCTTGGCTGGCTTTTAACTTTAGACCACCACTTTGCAGAAGTGTGCAGCCGAATAGACACCAAGTCAGTTATATAAACCTTTGCACACCGTTAATGGACTCATAGGGCGTGCAAGTGCAATGGTGATTAAAGAAATGGTCTATTTTAGTTTTTTTTTTTCCCTTTCACATCTTGTTGAGTTATTTTAAACAGCTATATTTCTTTTTCTTGTCTGGACTTCAGTCTCTGCATAATACGTCTATTTCTTGTTCTCGGTGTCACATTTTAGAAATAATGGAGCAATACTGTCTTCATCTGTTAGTGTTAAAGTGTCAACTCAGATGATTGACATCTACAGGCAGTTTTTTTCCTCCCGAGAATGCACTAAAGGGACTTTTTATCCCTCCTGCTTAGGGATTCTTTTGGTTTACCAGAATTACGTAGCTGATGAGAGAGAGGTGCAAATTTTAGTCCTGGACCTAAAAGCTCTTAGCCTGGTAAAAAAAAAAAAAAAACAGCCGCTGGTTCTGCAATTAGATTTAAACACAGTGTCTGAGGAGGTGTGTGAAGTCTGGGTTGTAGTTCTTTTTTTTTGCCATCTCATTGCAGCTCAGCATGACCTCGGATGAACTGACTAAGACATCAATTTCTGGGAAGACTGGTAACTGTATCACATGTTTTCCACTTGAGAATAATCTTTCTCTCTGGTGAGTGACAGACTTCAAGTAGTGCTTTTAAATCTTCCCAGATTGACAAGCAGTGAAAATTACTTTCCTTGGGTCTGTTGATGGCTTTGGTGGGATGCTAACAATCATGTGTGCTCCATCCCGGCAAAGTGTAAAACGTCTTGTTTTGGACATGTGCAAAACAGCACATTTAATTTGTTTGTTATTAGTTTTAATCGGACTCTGCGTCTTTAAAGTACAAAGTTACCACTGCTTTTTAATTTTGTGTGATCCTAATGATAGGGGAAAAAAAAAAGTCAATACAATAATAGGATATGGTTGGCTGCATTTTGTTTGCCGACGTTGCAAGTAAAGAACAGCTTAAAAAAAGTGGGTTATGATTTTCTTTTCTGATGCTTTTCTATTGATGACTAGAATTTTATTAAGAATAATTCTTGTAGAGAGGAGGCCGAGGATTGTTTGTGCTTACGATTTATGCTAAGATAAGCATATAGCGCCTAAAGTCAAGCTACATATTTAATAAGCCAACATGAGCGATATCAGTTCCCCTGTCCGTATTCCATCCAATAAATCAGAAAGATAAAGTGTTTTAAATAATGAAAAACATACAGCAGAGTTTATGTTTTCTATTTTTTTTATAGCCTTTTAAACATAGTGGTTTGTGCAAAGACTATTTATCTCCAAGAATAAAGGATTTTCCCTCAGAGGCTTGAGTGTCAAATATTCATCTGGATCTCCGATGTGCTTTGCTTGTCAATAAGGTCCACATGAAAGATAAAGGAAGTTAATATCTCTCAAACAGAAAAAAAGTATGATAGACTGTAATATGGCCCTAAAGGAAGAGAGTGAAATGTTGCTGCAAGCTTCTGCATAGATAATTCACTTCAACTAGAACAGAAAACAAGCCTATAATGTGTCCATCTAGTCATCCAATTTTTTTGTACCCGCTACTCTTCGCAAGGTCATGGGTGAGCTAGTTCTGCTCTCCAGTGATCGCTGGGCGTGAGACGGGGTACATTGCCAGTTTTTCACAGGTCAACATAGATGCATGCAGGACACACATTCACGTAACACACACACACACGCACACACACACGCACGCATACGCACGCACACACACACACACACACACACACACAGTCCCACCTGAGGTTGGCTTTGAATTGACATGCATTCATTCTTCTGGAGTGTGGGGGGGAGGGAAACCCAGAAGACATGGAGACAACCCAAACATGGATGACAAGAAAGACCCCAGTTGGCAGGAGTGCTAACAACTGAAGCTATTGATAAAGCTATTGTTGTAATATATATATATTTTTTTCATGTGAACTACTATTTGTTCAGTGCTTTAGTGTTTACTTATTGGTCTTGTGATAATCATTATGGTCAAACACTCCAGTTTTAGTTTCACAAGGTCAATGGACATAAAGGAAGGTCACTGTCCCAGTCTGATTTTTTTTTAAGCTTTGTTTTTCTCATAACGGCATCTTCATCTCGGAGTGGCCTTTCAGCCCATGACAATACTGGACTCGTTGCGGTGTGAAAAGTGATGCTCTCTTACAAGCGTTATTTGGTTGGCTCTCACGTTTTGCATGAAAACATATCCTACACAGTTTATCGTGGCATGATCTCAAGTTTTACAAACTCCCTAAAGCTGCAGTAGGGAGTTGCAAGAAAACTCAGGACCTACCCATACAAGTCCCTGTCCTTGCTCTCTGCTGTGTTGCTGCTCTCAGAGTAAGATGAAAGGCTATGTGTCTTTTTAAACAGCATACGTAAATATCAAGTTTCAATTGCATGTAAATTTAAGTGCTGCAACACAATATAACCACGTAGATGCGACAGGACAAGATATCTTTGCTAAAGAATATTTAAACTAAGCATTCCACATCCCTCTGCGTGCTTCATCACCTATCACTGCGAGACACGTTTTTATTAAAGGATGAATTTGATCAGCAGATAATGGAAACTTCTAGTTATTGTACAAATGCAAAGCCAGCTTGTCTTTGCTTTGCTCTAAAGGACTAATGTGCAAATCCGTTGACATTTCAGTTAGGATTTATGCAGAAATACGGGAATTACAAAGTGCGTTATGCCGTATTATATGCAAAGATCATAGGGCAGACTCATACTCACTGGACATTTTGTGATGCTCTGCTCCCACTGGCTCATTCTGACACTTTCCTCCAGGGTGGTGCATTTTTTCAGCAACAAATCCCAGCCACAATACGGGTCCCTGGCTCCTACGCAGGCTCTAAAGGGTAGGAATACAATGGCCCTATTAGAGGGGTTTTGTGAGTCTGTTGTGTCACACAGATGCCTGTGCCTTAGAATGGCATGGATTCAGCTAGACAGAAGGAGACAGTTGAGGAAGGTAATAAGTGGTGGTTTCAGTGTCTTATTAAAATATAAGAGGCAGCAGAGATTGGCTGGTAGCAGAAAGTATAATTGAATATGTCAGAGGAGAGAAAACGGACAGAAAAAAGAAAGTAACAGAACAAATGAAAGCACTACTAAAGCTAGGGGAAAAAAAAAAAATATGTAGAATTGCCCCGGAATGTAGAACATGATCATGCATTGGGCCCAACATCATATTCAGATCATATTCAATGTGAGGATATTGTCAGTATATGTATATATTGTGGCATATGTCTTTTTCAGAAACTGCAGCAGCACATGGTTTGTTGAGAGTAATAAAGCTACTCTTTTCATATAAAGACAAGGCCGTGGTGACAGTGCGGTGACATATCTTTCGGCCGCAGGCGTCAACGTTGCATGACATGCCCCGGTGGAAACAGTGATTTTTTTTTTTTTTTTTTTTTCCTGAGAGGTTTCATAACAAAGAGACAGAATATAGTCACAATCTAGAATGAATGAGTAAGAAACAAGTGATTCACATGCTTTAGTATCCATCCCAGTGACAGCTGTAAAAAGGAGAAAGGGCTGGTGCTTCTGTGTAAAAATGATGGTGCTGTATTACCACGGGGCTGGGGAAGTGCTTGGGCCAATATGAGAGATGACAGACACAATTCTGCTTCTCGGAAAATCAAAGTCATACACAGTATAAGTAAAAAGGTGTAGAGTGTATACTGCACAGTGCAAGGACAGTACAAGGACATACTTTTCACGTGATTGGCATTTCTCAAAGTCCTTTTTCATAGGTAATCTTTAAATTATCTGAGCAACAACTTGGGTATTTTTTTTAGCTGCGGGCCATGACTGTCGATATGATCTGAAATAGATGCCTAAATTATATATAATTTGCGTCTAGTTGCGTCTGTAAATAAGGAACATGAGGTTCACATTGTGTGGTATTGCTCCACAAGAAATAAAAAAAGACACAAGATGTGCCACTCTATAAATACAAGGTGATGGTATTACCGAATGACGCCAGATGATAGAACTAAAAGAAAAAATAAACACATCAGGGCCTATCTTCCGGAGGGGATTGAGGTCTTCCAAATTATGTATCCACACAACAAAAGCACAAAAAAGGCATCATTCCAACATTTCAAGCCTGTCTCTAAAAGTATTGTCAAAGACAAAACGTAGCTATTAGCAACTGACACGTGTGTCCTTGGTGAAGTTTCTTTCATCCGTTTTGTCTGTTCTAACTTTTTCAGCCTTCGTATAAAAAGAGAAACAGTGAATGCGATGAAGTGACTGCATTACGTACTGCAGAGCAGCGGCTGTAATATGACGCATTAAGGCGGCGGTGTGCAACAGCAATGGTGCAACGGAATAATAAAGGTGCAATTTGTCAGCGCGACGGCAGACAGGATTCAAATCTTGATGTGAATCCTATGATTAGCTTTTACACCCGAGTTTGGCTGTATTTATTCAGAGACGTGGCAGCCTACAACACAGACAGAAACTGAAAATATCTGATTAAACTTCAGAACGCTGCACGAGGCAGAGAGCACATGGTTTTTTGCGCAATGGGTCAATCAGCTGGGGAGGCAGTCAGAGGACAGCCACGAGCACCTCCAGTGGATCAGACAAAGCTGATTTGCAGGATTTAAAGTTTTAGCTCAGGCCTGGTGCTCTCAGATAAAAACCATCTTATGAAAAAGAAAACAAAATACGGCTCGAAAACTTTGTTTGCACATTTGCCTTTGACAGCTCCCACTGAGATTAATAGTGTTTTCTTTGTTCACGGACTCACTCTCTGCTCTTGTGGTAGCTGCATCTCTTGAGCGGTATCTTGATGACCTGGTCCCTGAAGCCCACGTAAAGCTCGCTGCGGCTGTGCAGGATCAGCAGGCTCCGTATCGGCTGCCTCTTCCTGGGCGGGAACAACTCGATCTCCTCCAATAGGCAGCTCCCCGTGGACTGGTTGAGAGGAGACAGCACTTTTCTGATAGTGCCATAATCTGGACGAGAAAGTGGGGAGAAGAGAGGATTATGTCACAAAGAGGAAATAGGGGCCGATAATCCACAAGAGAAAAGGTAAAGTAATGGGGGAAAGAGCAGGATAAGAATAACAGAGGGTTTTGAAGAGGAAAACCAACAAATAATCTATGCTGAATGGGGAGAACTACACTCAGCACTGTGAACTACTGAACAATTGCTTCCTGAAGGAGGCTGTGGAGAGAGGAATAAAAGAGAAATGGGGTTGGATGTACAAAGCCTGGTTAAAGCATCAATATGCAGCACTGCAGACATAACGGAAGAGTTGATGAGGCACCTGAATGCATGATTTCTGGCCTACTTTTTCTTAAGGGAATATTCTAAGGGATGAAGCTGCTTTGTAGCTATAAAAGAGAGCGAAACGTGTAGAAATCTGTGTCATCGTGAGTGTATTCTGACCTTTAATTTTGTAAGGTAGGCCCAGTGAGACACACTTTGAGGCAAATTTACTTTTGGGAGAGCGAAAACAAACATAATCCATTATACTTGCAGTCCCCTGGGCGGGCCAAAGGTAATTAGGTGTACAGTGGAGGCATAGGGAGAAGGGCAAAATGCTAATAGGTAACTTAAAGGCATGAAATGTAGAAGTTAAGTTTTGCCCCAGGCAGTGTGGTCAGTAATGCTGCAGCAACTTGAGGTGATACGTACAATAAGAGACTTGAACCTTTCAGAATAAAAACCAGATTTACTGTTTTTTGTTGTTGTTGTTAAACTTCTATGCATTTCAATGGGATTTTATGTGATAGAACAACACAAAGCAGTGGCAGTTCTGGCCTTCATAGAGTAACAAAAAGAAAACCAGTGTTGAAAAGATGACATGCAACCAGAGCTACACTAAAAAAAGATTAGATCGCAGCATATCAATGTGCTGTGCATGAATGAGCCTAAGTCCAGACAAATCCGTAAACATGTCATCCAGTTTCAATATTTTGCAAAGAAAAACCAATATAAATTTGATTCTCACAGCTGATATGCCAAAAAACTTGCAACTGCAATTGCAGCATGAAGGGATTTTGCAAAGTGTTGATCCAGAAGGCTCAACACAAAGGCATTCACTATTTACACATTTAGTTGTGCAAAAATCTTTCTTCTGCTTCACAGTGATTTATTTGCTTTTATTTTGTTCAACCACCTTAAATTCCCAATGAGACATGTTGAAGTTTGTGATTGGATTATGAAAAAAAATTGTTAAACGAGCATAAATATTTTTACAAGACAATGTAAGTAAAATTCAACTTTAACTGTTAGAACTTGATTTGTTAAAGTACATTTGCTAAGTTGTATTATTTTTTTAACTTTAGCAGCTTGTAACTATGATTACAAAGTTGTGTGCAGAACTTTATTTATGACCCTTCTATTAAACTGATTTAATTTAATTTTGTTTTTAAATTAATTACTACACTATCCTGGTTCTTATTTTCTTTTTTTTAATAACTTTTCTTTGCAAGGCAGAATAAAACGGCCCTTTGTGAAGCCTAAAATATCTCATAATGTCCTATTATCTAATTTGGCATGTATTAAAGTGCTGCTGTGTGCGTTTGGAGGCGTGCACGTCAATGTTTCAGATTCTTTATTCCATCAAATCTACCACTGAGAAAGAAAAAATGACCAGCAGGAAACACTAAGGAGGCTGAATAACGGCTTCACTTCTGCTCAGCTCAGCAAGCTGCACGGTTGTTTGAAAGAGCCTCACACTTCGACATCTTTGAACTCCCGGCTGGAGCTATTAGATTTCCCCACAATGGCCCCAATCAGTGGGGTGCGTTTAGGCGTTAATAACAGCGTGCGATTAGGTACAGTATGAGTGCAAGCCAATGGCCCTGGCAGTGGTTCAGATGTTTTCATTAGTGTCTGGTTAGTGTCTGGGGAACTTGCAGTGTGGGCAGCTCTGGTTCAGTGCTGCATTGATCACAGCAGCATGCAAACAATGAGAGGGGAGTTTTTGAGGGAGATGCCAAGCAAGGAGGAAGTGAACTGGAACAGATTGCAAGAGTGTGTTTGTGTGTGTGTGTATGAGAGAGAGAGTGACTGTACATATGCGTGTATCATATACGACATGTGAAATATCTTAAAATAACACAGACTCTTTAACAGGAGGATCATGCTGCCATTTCCCAGCGGGCTTTTTTTTTTGGTACATTAGTAGAGCAAAGTGGGTCACTGCACTCAAAATTCTGTTCAGCACACCTGTTTGTCGCCCGTGCTACATTACAGCAACTCATCAAATAATAACAGGTAACTGGAGACCTTTTGTTGCCAAGTCTGACATCATCGCAGGATCACACCAGTTTGGATCAAACAATGTACTGATAAGCAGATGGTGCCAAACGTACACACTGGACAGAGTAAATGTGTAATGACCGCACATGTGTCATTTGTCTCTCTCTAGACATGACTATTGGCTGTTTTATGGTGCAATACAGAAGAGCGATTACATTTTCATGAAAAAAATGCTTCTTCTGTCATCTATATGTGTGACTGCATGAGGCTTCGTAGCATATGTGGAACATGTGTATGTAAAAGGTCATGAAGCTCATGTAAAAGCAGACTCTTTGATGATGTTGATACAGATTGACTGGCATTGTTCTGCTTCTTACGAGACACTTCTTTCATGTGCAGAGTGCATTTCAAGGCCTTCGAGCTCCTAGGCCTTTTTTTTTTTTTTTTTAGAACCATCAATATTCACAGCAATAAAAGTAAGGATGAATAAAACATTGAGGCAATGTGTGTATTAAGGTAATTTATCTGGTCTCAGTCCTGAGGACTACCACAAGTAAGTAATTAAACAGAGTTTGTCCACAATTTTAGTTGCCACAAACTTGAATGTATTTCATTGTGTGTGTTTTTTTTTAAATATCTCCAAATTAGTCAAGCTAGATGTGTATGAATATTAATTATGAAGTCTTGCCCCAGTTTCTTCTTTCAATCTAAAAAAATATTCATAGCTCTTATTGCATGTATAGGTAGAAGTGATTACAGTCCAGTCATTTTTGCCTTTCCTTCAACAACATAAATTTGTGTAGAGCCACAAAATGTGCACTGCCCCTCAAAAAACATTTGGTTATTTCGTTCTATGAATATGTAGTGCAAAGAATTTTGCTTGCATTTCTATTTTTTGATTTAGTATGAACGTCAAACATCAACAGGAAAAAGGAGTAAGTGTTCCTATTGGATGAAACCATAGGACCAACTTGTTCCTTTATTTGAAACATTTAAAAAAAAAAAAATAGTAACCTTTCAAAAACAAGGGGAAAACTGCATGAGTTTAATTCTAAACCTAAAAGAACAACTTTCTCCTGTACCGCTGACACAGCTTTTTTTATTAGAAAAACAAAAAAAGAAGTTGCTCAAGGTACTTTACCAGTGGCCAAATAAATGATGTGGAACAGCGTGTCTTTCCCTTGCACCACATCCACTGCTATATGAGTGAAGCGCACGTTGTCTTCCATGAAATAAGGAACGGGGACCACTGGCTGGACCACCTCATGCATCAGCAGAAACTTCTGTGCATCCTGCAGGTTCCTTTGAGTCAGGTTCACATAGGAGCCGGAGTTGATGGTGCCGCACTGTACAGATGGCAAAAAAGTTTGCAAGAATATGACATTAGACTTTATTACATTCATAAATGTCTACGGTTTTAAGGATTACAGGATAATACGCTTAGGGTTTTTTTTCTTTTTCCAGAAATAAACCAAGAGATGGAAATTTAAGGGAAGGAGTGATTAAATGAACAAGCAGGATCATTGCCTCTTTTAGTTGGTTTTGCTATCCTCCCAACTTTCAAGGCTTTGTAGTCACAGAGTTTGATGGAAAGAGACTGAATGAGTGTTTCACTGAGTGGGTAGTTATCTCTTTTATGAGATTTCCCACTCATATGCATACATATTGCTGGTAAGCTTTATTGCTACGTGGAAAATAATATTTCCGGATTGTGTCATTCTTTCAGCTCAGAAATGATAACTTCAAAAAGTGTCTGAGACCTCATTGTTTTCATTATTAATATTTTTAGAGAGACTCGCGGGGAATCTGTGTCAGTCGAAGATGGACAAGCAATGATTTAGTGGTGAGGAAATCTGTTGTCACAAAGTGACAATAAATAAATGCATTTTTCTAGCTTTATTGTTTCATTCTGGAGACAAGTCTTGATTTCTTAAAGGTAGTAAGATTCATAGTTATAATCAAAAATGTTTAATATTTAAGACTAAGTTTATCCAAGGGTGGTAATTACAAATACACATCAACAGATTACTACTTCAAATCATGAAATACGATAAAAAAAAAGGTTAAATTTATATCTTTGGATGTAACATGGTAAAATGTAAAAAAAAATTCCAAATGGGCTGTATACTTTTGGACGGCACTGTACGTAGCTAATCTTTGCCTAAGAAAAGCCATTTCCATGATATGATGAATCTGGTGTGAATTTTTTCCTCTTTGAAGTGGAGAGGACATGGTGCAGGACAAAAGCCAGCATAGCTAAGGGAGAGCTGGGAAACTAAAGCTAACCAAGCGTGCCCCTCTCAGTAAATGATGTCCCATGATGAGCTCGGGATTTTTGAATTGAGGCATCTTTCACAAAGAACAGGCTTCCACCAGAACACAGGGCAGAGAAAACAAAAATACGTCTTGCATGGCAATTACACCACCCAAAACAGACCGCTGCTGTTTTAATTATAGTATCGAATTGCGTTTTCTCATCTCCGGGCTAGCACTGCACCTTTTTTACTGCTAAGCTGAGGCTGAACTCTGGCTGGCGATTTGTTCCTGGGAGACAAGCTTCAACGGCAGCATTATGGACACGTTATACAGATCAATCCTCGGCCTTTACAGGGCTGACAAGCGACAATCATGAAGGGCTTCTAGTCTGATGAACGGATCAGTGCTCCTGCAAGTTCAGAATGTGAGAAATTGCAGCCCTGAAAGACTACAAGACATCCAAAACTGTGCTTGCCAGTGTCTCAAATAATCATCCTGCCCCTGGCAAAAAAAAAAAAAAAAAAAAAAAAAATTTTGTTAATGGGTTTTCAGGTGGGGTGTTTGGAAAAAACAG